TATATATACATTCTTCAATAGTGAATTGACATAATTTCAATAAAATAATATTACGCGTAAATTCAAATTTTTTTCTTATTTTTTACCATACATTTTTCATTAATATACTATTTAAAAATACATTTTAATTCCAATAATGTGGCTCAAACAAAGGTTAATAAAAATTCCATCTTATTATAATAAATATAGGCAGAGGCCCAAATTCGGAAAGAAAGCCCAATACGGAGCATCCACATAAACCCTAGGAAATTCGGCAAGAAAGCCCAATACGGAGCATCCACATAAACCCTAGTTCCTCTACGATAAATTAGGCATCACAATTCACAGTTTCACAAATGAGCCGTGGTTTCTTTGAAATCTTTTTCTACAATTTTCGGTATTTCTGTCTTCACTATTTTTGTAATTTCCCCTGTAATTAATCTACAAAGTCTCCAAATTTTTTCCCATTCAGTTGGCATCTATTATGATTTCCTCTGTTTAAGTTAAATTTAACAGAGGAAATACGAAAAGATGCGAAATCAAAGATGTTCACTGGTACTTATGGACACGCAGATTTCTCTTTCTTCCAGTGAATTCGTGCGTTTTCTCGTAGGTTTCACATTCTTCCTTTTTTCAATTTATTTAAAATTTTCTGTGATTCTGATATTTTGGTTATTGGAATTTTGCTCGATGATGATTGATTTGCTTTAACCACACCGAAGAGAGCTGGCTGATTAGGAATCCTCTTGAATTTAGGTCAAAGGAATTTTTTCTCACTTATAATTTGCTTGCGAGTGGCTTTATGAATCTTTGCTCTATGGGTTTGAGAGTGTAATTCATTCTCCCCTATAGAGTTAAGATGAAGGCTCTTTCAAGCTCATTCTAAGTGTATTCCATTGGCTTAAATCCGTGAGGATTTCCTCTCCGTCGGTATTCTCATGTGGAAAACTTTGGCCTTTTTCTGAGAGCTAAATTCCCCATTCAAATTCGATAACGTTATCTCTCTTTCAATTTTTATTAGTCCAGTTTTAAAAATTCAGCAGTCAAGGAGATTATTTCTAAGTTTTCATGGGTATACTTTTGATAGAAGAACCAGAAGAATTATAGAAAAGAGAACTGTATCAGAGAATATTGGGAAAAGTTATGTTTTTTAGAGCCATTGCACACCTCTCTCTCTCTCTCTCTCTCTCTCTCTCCAATTCATTTCAGCATAAAGAGCCATTAGGTGAAGAGAAGATAAAGAAATCCTAGTTTGGAGAATAAAAAATAAACTATTGTAGTAAGATAAGTAGAATTTTGTTACAAATCACTGAATATAATTAAATGAGAAAATTAGAGGGAACCATGCTTTAAAGTTTTATTATTAAAATCAGGCATTTTTTAAAATATATTTTTGGTAAATGTTTTATTTTGTATTCCATCCTATTCATTATGGTAATTTGAAATTCAAATAATGCAAAACGTGAGTATTATGATTTTTGCTTGTTGCATACTTTGATTTACTAATGTACGAATAACATTTGTTGTTGCAATTTGAAAGGCAAAAGGTGTCTCTTATCTTCTACCCTTGAATCCACAAGTACTCGTCGGGTACTAAGAAATCGTTCGATCCCATACATTTGTGATCTTGACAATTGTATTATTGAAATTTGCTTGAACATTAATAACTTCCTTTGGTATTTTGAGTGCAATCTTTAAGTGAACCAATATGTTATGTCCATTTCTATGCTAATCAATTCTATTCTACATATATTTTGCCATATTTTATCATCTCATAAATATGAATAACTTTCAAAGGAACTAAAAATTGTAGTTACAAATTATTAAAGGAAACGAACCTATCATTATGAATCCAAATGCCTTCACACTTGACATGTAGAATGGTGGGGTTGCTATCGAAAAAATGTAGAGGAAAATATGAATTCTTTCATACAAATAATTGTGCAGTTTTCCAAAATTAAGTAAAGGCCTGGATGACCATTCTTTTCATTCTCTCCACTTCCATTCAAAGAGCAACGCATTCAAAGAAATAGTTTTTGTTAGAGATTTCAAATTTGAGTGGAAAGGCAGTTAAAACCAAGTATATCTATGGTGTCAAATCATATTATAGCATTCTTAGTGCCCATTAGCAGATAACAAACCTTGCTGAGGCTTGCAAATCCATTTGTAAATTGTTATTTGCAGATGTACACATGTTGCAATCGTGGAGCACTTTGTTAGGCAATTAGTGGGCATGTCATAATCACGGTGATAATAATTTCTTTTATTATTATTATACATATATTTGTACTGTACAATTTTTATGTGAATAGAATATAATATTTCATTTTGCCTTCTTTCCAGATTTCATTATATGGTATCAGAGCAATTATGACGTCTCCAAACTCCAGCTCAGAAAATAAAGTCCAACCACTAAATCCGGCCTTAATCTGATCAATACTGCTAAACCCACTCCAAATTTCTCCTTATCTCAACCTGCCTAACCTATAAATAATGCAAATCAACTAGCTATTGTGTACCTGGATGATGGAAATTTTCTCATTTAGAGACAGCATGTTCTTCCTGGTATTCGCGGTTTTGGGTTGGAAGGATTTATTGATGGTTCTGCTGTCTGTCCACCAGAACTCACTCCAACCATAAGTGGTAGACCAGGGTCCGTCAACCTGGACTATGTCTTCTGGCATCGTCAAGACCAATTGATATTTTCTTGGTTATTGGCACCAATGACAGAGTATTCAAGCCCAAATGGTGGGATCAAACACTGCCAGTGATATTTGGAAAATTGTTGCACGCTTGTTTGCATCCAGAACTCAGGCAGAGGTTATGCAACATAAACTTCAACTCCAGACCCAAAAGAAAGGAGGTTTGAGAATGCGAGAATACCTTTTGAAGATGAACACATATTCTGATGTTCTTACTTCTGCTGGAGAAAAGATTTCAGAGGACCAAATACTCTATGTTCTAGCCAGGTTGGGAATCGAGTATGAATCTGTTATCGTCTCTGTTACATCACGTGTTGAGCCCTACTTCTTACAAGATGCAACTGAATTTTTTCTCACACATGAAAATCGGATTGAACAGTATTCCGCAAATGGAGATGTGTGACAACCTACTATAAATCTGGCACTTCAAGACCAGTCAAAGAAAAATGGGGACAGCAGTCAAAAATTCCCTCACGAAAGAATTTGAACTTACATGGCAGAAGCCGCGGTAGAATCAGAACATGGAATGGAAATAGCATGCCTCAGTGTTAACTTTGTGGTATATTTGGTCTAGGTATGGCAACGGTTCGGCTAAAACTATTACCGAAACACCAATTTCTTAGTCATACCACAATCGCACCTTAACTACGTAAGTCGGTTCGGTTCATATCTCGATTTGCCTCGGTTTGAGTTGTTAATAACCACGAAAATATATTATTTTTTATGGGTCCATCCATCAAATATTTTAAAAAAAATTATGAAAGAAAGTCAATGAAAACAAAAATATAATACTAAGCCAATGTAGCAAAACATCATCCCAAATGAAAATGTAGACAATATCTCAATTCTCAAATGCAAAATCCGAATTTAACAAACAATACTAAACAATATCTTTATCCCTTGATCCTTGTGCATAGAACTTGATTTCTACTCAATAAATCAAAAGCTTCAACCTCAATTTATATTCAATCTTTATTCTTCCCCACAACTCTTACTAGGATTCGTCAAAACTTAAAGTTGATTTCTATATAGTATATAAGAAATGTAAGTAGAGTAATAATCTATAATGGTCTTAACTGAATATTTAAATAAAAAAATGTACCTCTTCGTCAACATTCTCGTCACCAAACCTTGCACAAGTTCCAAAGTATGATGAAGGAGCAAAATTTTTTACAAACAAAAGAGGAAAAAAATTAGCAATATAAGAAAGTGCATGAATAACAAATATAAAACAATAAATCCAATTATTATTTTTTTAACGGGTAATGGTTCGTGGCAGAACAACGACGCGAATTCCATATCCGCCTCGCCCCGAATCGAGTCATTAAAATCAAATACTATATCCACTTCATTGTACCATCAGTTCGCTTAACCACGATTTTCAGTTTTAACAGTTAGAATTGTCATCCTTAATTAGGTCACACGGCACAGAAATGCTACCATCGTTTTGGCCCGTCATTTCTCTAGTCTCAATGGTGCTAGGAATACTAATACTCTTTCGGGTAATCAAAGTGGAGATGGGTTTACTCAAATGGCCACAATGATGGCATCCCCTGAGTTACTTACTGAGAATGGGTGGTTTCCAGACTCGGGAGCAACAAATCACAAGACCAATGATCTAAACAACATGCATATTCGCAATGAATATCTGGGGAGCAGCAAAATTGTGGTGGGTAATGGTAAAGGTCCCTCAATATCTCATGTTAGCTCTTTCTTTTTTAACTCTCCTAATTCGTCTCGTGTTTATACTCTGTCCAACTTATGCATGTCCCACAAATTACAAAGAACTTGTTTAGTGTTAGCCAATTTGCTCGTACAATCATGTTTATTTTGAATTTCACCCGAGTTTGTGTTTTGTAAAGGATCAGGCCATGAGAATGGAGCTACTCCAAGGGAGGCTACATAATGATTTGTATCAGTTTAATCTATTTAAGGCATCTCTTGCATCATCTCAATTGTCGTCCTTGAGTTCTTCTATTCAAAGTCAGTCGAGTTGTCCTACTGCCTTTTCTTTACAGTCAGTAGGTGCTAGTTCGAGTTCAGTATTTCAAGTCCAGTAAAGTCTAATATTAGAGTCAATCAAATTACAGACCTCTGGCATATGAAGCTCAGTCAACCCGCTGCTCCAAGTGTCAGGATGGTTCTATCCTCTTGTAAAATCCTTGTTCAAATGAATGAAGATTTATCATTTTGTTTTGCTTGTCAATTAGGGAAAAACAAAAAGTTACCATTCTCTCATTTTGAGGTGGTTTATCATGAGCTATTACATTTGATATATTCTGATCTATGGGGTCCAGCATTCACACCCTCCATTAATGGTTATCGCTATTATGTGAGTTTTGTGGATGCTTACTCTAAATTTACTTAGATATTTTTCCTTAAAAGCAAGTCTGAATTATATCCCGTTTTTCTTCGATTCAAAGCTCAAGTGGAATTAAAACTAGACAAAAAGATCAAAATTCTACAAACAGATTGGGGGGGTGAGTTTCGGTCCCTTACATCGTACTTGAGTTTAGCTGGGATAACTCACAGACATTCTTGTCCTCATGCGTCTTAACAAAATGGAGTCTTTGAACGTAAGCATTGACACATTATTGAGTGTGGCTTACCTTTTTAGCTCAAGCCTCGTTACCTCTCAAACTTTGGGATGATGCTTTCTCAAGTGTCGTATATGTTATCAACAGATTACCTACTATAGTCTTGAGTGGTCAGTCTCATTTGGAAAGGCTCTTGTATACCAAACATGATTATTCATTTTTACGTGTGTTTGGCTGCATGTGCTTTCCTTGCCTTCGGCCCTATAACAAACAAAAGTTAAACTTTCGGTCAACCCCTTGTACATTCATTGATTACAGTCTTAACCACAAGGGGTACAAGTGCTTAGAACCTGATGGAAGGGTTTTCATATCTTGTCATGTAGTGTTTGATGAGAAAACTTTTCCATATGCTTCACAAAAGTCTTCTACAATTTCCAGTGTCGATCAACCTCTTTCAGTCCTTTATCCAGCTATGCAATCAACTCATCTTGGACAATCATCTACTACGTCTTTGCTAAAAACTGATCCCAACCGTGATTCCTCATAGCAAAACTCTCTAGCACATCACTTTCCAACACACAATATGCCCTCATTATTCCCAAGTGAATTAACCATATCAACCACCGAGCCTAAATCGTTACCTATTGATCTACCTTCCTAGTCAGAATCATCATCTATGTCTCCAACACCTATCAATACTCATCACATGGTCACTCGATCCAAGGCTGGAATTTTAAACCTAAAGTTCTCCTCACTACCGACCTACAAAATAGTATACCAAACTCTTTCAAAGAAGCCCTCAAATGTGCTCAGTGAAATATGGCAATGCATGAGGAATATGCTGCATTAATTAGCAATAACACTTGGAACTTAGTCTCTTTGCCCTCAGATAGAAAGTTGATTGGCTGCAAATGGGTTTTTAAACTGAAGAGAAATCCTGATGGTTCTATCTCTTAATATAAGGCGTGACTGGTTGCAAAAGGTTACCATCAAGTTCTCGGCTTTGATTACACAGATACTTTTAGTCCTGTGGTGAAACAAGTAACCATATGTGTGGTTCTGTCCATTGCTATTTCTCTTGGATGGCAGGTACGCCACTTGATGTAAATAATGCATTCTTTAATGACATATTGCATAAAGATATATGCATGGCTCAGCCTCCTGGATTTGAAGCTCCTGCACCAAATGATAGATTGGTCTGTAAGCTCAATAAAGCTTTGTATGGGTTAAAACAAGCCCCTCGGGCGTGGTTTGATTGTTCGAAGACTTATCTCTTATCTCTTAGTTTTAATGCTTCTCGAGCGGATACTTTTCTTTTTATCAAATGCAATGCTACACTTTGTATCTATGTCCTTGTATATGTAGACGATATATTAATTACTGGGAGTAGTAGTCTAGCAATCGAGTCTCAGATCACTTGTCTGCACTCTGAATTTTCCTTGAAAGACTTGGGCATTCTTCATTATTTTCTAGGGATAGAGGTAAAGCATACTACTACTGGTAGTCTATTGTTGTCTCAAGAGAAGTATATCAAAGATCTCCTCGATAGAGTTAAGATGAGTAATGCTAAATCGAAACTAACTCCCATGGTGGCAATTTTGTCCCTCACTTCCTCTAATGGCGATCCATTTGTGGATCCAACTTTATATCGAAGCACTGTTGGGGTATTGCAACATGTAACAATTACTAGGCCTGAAATAGCATACTGTGTAAATAAAGTGTGCCAATTTATGCCTTAAAGCACACTGGAAGGTAGTCAAACGCATTCTTCAATATCTTTGTGGTACTGCAAATCATGGTCTCCACTTCTTCAAGTCTAATAATCTATATCTTCATGGATTTTCAGATTCTGATTGGGCATGGGACTTAGATGATCGCCGTTCACTTCTGGTTACTGCTTATTTCTTGGGGATAATCTAGTTTCCTAGAGCTCAAAGAAACAATCTATCGTTTCTTGCTCAAGTACTGAAGCTGAATATCGTAGCTTAGCTAACGCCACTTCTGAATTAATTTGGTTGCAATCTTTACTTAAGGAGCTCCAAATCTATCAAAATAAAATTCCAGTCATCTGGTGAAATATTTTGAGCACGATGGCTCCCAATGCTATCCAGTCTTATATTATTGTATGAAACATTTGGAGCTTGATCTCTACTTTGGCAGGGAACGAGTTCTTAATAACACTCTAGCTGTCCATCATGTTCCTGCATTTGATCAACTTGCAGACATTCTCACAAACCTCTTGCTGTTCAACATTTTACTCGACTGAAACATAACCTAAGGGTTCTTGTTCCTATCACCCTTCGTTTGCGAGACGATATTAGCAGATAACAAACCCTGCCGAGACTTGCAAATCTGTTTGTAAATTATTATTTGTAGATGTACACATATTGCAATCATAGAGCACTTTGTTATGTAGTTAGTGGACGTGTCATAATCACAGTGATACTAACTCATTTATTATACTATATATACCATGTACTGTACAAGCTTTATTTAAATGGAATATAATATTTCTTTTTACCTTCTTTCCTGTTTTCATTATAGTGCGTGACATAGTATTTGATGGAACAACTCACAAATATTATTCATATCCGATGTTCAACACAATGTACCGATATCCTTAGAATATATTGAACTGAAAGTTGGATTACAAGATCTAGAAATTCTACCTTTAAAATCTCATTTGATCATTGATCATATTATCATTGTATATGGAACTGTCTATCAAAGATTGGAGGCAAAGTTTCCTTAGCATGCCATCATCTGCTAATAAATCCTATGTTTGTGTAATATGTTTTATTTACAGGCTTAAATTTATTTAGTGCTCAAAAACTGTTAAGGGGATGCTAATGGAGCAGCTGAAGGAACGACAAAAAAAACTTAGTGAAGAGTTTTCCTGCAAGGACTTCATTTACAGCATCTGAAGGATGGAAAACGTCCTAAAACACATATTCGCTATGATTCTTGTCCACCTTTAAGTTAGGTATACAAATGCCTCCAAGTTTAGTAAAATTTAAAATCAGCTCAACTTATGATTATGTTGGTTTTGTGTATGTATTGTTAAGAGATGAAGTTGAAAACACAGAACAACATATAAAAATTTGGCCTACTACTTTTTGTAAGGTGACATTTTAAGATGTAATCCCAAACTCTTATGAATTGGTCTATATTTTCATCTTAATATGTATGTGGTATATTTCAATTACATACGATTTTATAAACCCTTACCATATGCAATAGGGTTCTCGATTAAATCAAGAACTGATCATTAAATATCTACGAATGTTAACTGTGCAAATGGGATATGTCGATGTAGATTGGCAATTAGCTTCTCTACTTTGGAGGTAAATTGATGTACCCATAGATTGACTTGATTTAGGCATTGTGCTCAACTTGCTTTTAACCTCTGGGATGGGATGCAGCCAAGTAGGCCAAGACCTTGGAAGATCATCTTTTGCGCACCAAGTTGGTAAAGCCTCTGATACAACAGATTCAAGAAATTGCAGCTAATTAGTAATCAAAATAATGTCCCAGGTTTTTATATGATTTGCATTTTTATTGATTTCCAGCATTTTGATGGAACAATTTGATTTTTCTAATTGATTGGAAGATTTTCTTATAGTGAGTTGTTTACCTAAGGTTGAGATTAGGAGTCCCACAAACTCGTCATGTATGTATTGTTGACCATCTACTAGAAAGGGGTAGAAGAAAGTTGTTGACGTAGTCGTTGCTACCTGAAAGATTTCGTTGAAGAGGAAATGTTAGAATAGGAACATTTCTTAACTAGAAGAGACAGTGTTGACTAGAGCTCTGCACTTTTACTTGACAAGTTTACACAAAAAAAGGTCTATATTCTTTAGGTTGGCAACCATATCTAATCCAATGAAATGAACTGCCTTGTTGCACAGCTTATTATCTGCCTCTTCACCTATTTCAGCCTTGGTTGATTCCTTGGTCTTCTTGAAATTCTTTATTTGATCATCAAATGATGATAGCCTATGTATCTGTGATGCAAAAGGCTTACAATAATGAAACATGAAGCCAAGAATTGTTATCGGATTATAATCTAAAGAACTGTAGAAAAATGAAGATTAGAAAATAAAGCCCCGTGTCATTAAGAATTTCAGCTCCACCAGATGCATAGTTCACTCCTTTTACAAGTGCATCTTCATTTGGTGCCAAAGAAGATATGGTAGGGAATCCCAAGCTTTCTAGCTGAGAATTTCCATAGGACGAGAAAAGATAATCTTATTTTACTGTTGAAATTTTCAGTGCAATTTCAAACAAATCATAATGAAAAGAAGAATATAGATGGTCTATTGCATTTATTACATATATATAATGTCACCAATGGTTCTTCCATTTGTGAATCTCCCTGTATCTTTCCCTCCAATATAATCAATCCTGTAAAACAGATTTTGCAAAGGAAAGTTGCAGGTAGCTATTATTCCCAACTTCCGTTAATGAGTCACCGAAATCAAAGGTGACTAAGGATGCCACAATTGAAGGAGTGGCTGCCAAGGCTGCTGAAATGACGAAGATAGTGCAAATTTCTGCTATTTTAGCCATCTTTAAATCCTTCATTGTTGAAAATGTACGAGCCCATGGCAAAAATTTATAAGGGGTAGTTCAGTTAGTGTTCAATGGTTTTTCTGAGTCATGCCCACTTCCCAAGTTTTCATATATTAGGTAATTGTTCTCCATTATGAAGAATGTTTGCATTTTTTGAACCTGATGAGGGCTAGTGAGGAACCTTTTCTCAGATCTGTCAATCGGGTGTGGACGTTTGGCTCTTTCTTATAGTTGGTCAAATCACTTCAAGAATTAGCAAATATAGGAAGTGGTATAGTTCTTCTTAAGGAATTCTGAATTCTAGAGTTATAGTATAAGGTTTTGAGTTAGGCACCGGCATGATCAGTCATTCATGCGGGTGCTATAAATATTGGTGGTGTGTTTGAAATGTTAAATTAGACATTATTGGAAAATAATAATAATAAATTCAAATCTTATTTGTTATACTAAGCGGTGCATCTAGTGTAAGTGTTATGCCATATGTCCAATCGACTTTGGACAGACATTTTTAATATACCATTGATTCGACTTATGACGGATCCATTATTTACTTAATATTCAATTGCATTAAATAATGGAGTCCGTAGATTCAAATCTTTGTAACTTATGAAGTAAGTAGCTAATCTCACAAATTAAAGTGTGGCAACACTTGAATGAACACGTAGATATTTTGTTATAGAACAAATTATTGAAGACCCGCTAAGAGATTCCACATGGATAACTATTTGAGTGTTAGTGGTTAATCTCTAACGTTCGATAGTGAAATTGGTCCTTTGACTTGAGGTCGTTATAGTGTCTTGTATGAGGACATTCATGCTTTTGACGGTGTTAGATGTTGCTATGCCAAGGGCAGCTAATACGGCATCGTAGGATATGTCAAGAATTGTATGAAGGTTGTGAATGGCCAACAGAGGATTCATCACTCTTAGATAGTAAGAGATTATGATCTGCATTTCATTCAATTAAATCGATAAAGAAATCATTGGCCAAGATATACCCAAAAGTCGAAAATGAGTTTTCGACTTATATTGACTTAATAGTGGGATGAAAGATATGATTGATAATCGGGATTGAAACACTTCCATATCTCGTAATTGATTGGATCATATTGACGAAGGGATTATAGTTTCATGGTAAACGAACGAGTTTGGTTTTGCCATATCAGGTGACATTTTCTGTCACATGTATTACCATGATACATTGCTAGATATCAATCTGGGATGACTAATGTGAATTGGTAATAAATAAAAATAGTGTTTTAATTTATCAAAATAAATTTATCAATTTTGCTTGGATCAAAATAATGATTCATGTCGTTAGACATTTTGATTGAGAACTTAATAGGTCGTACACAAAATGTGAACTAATTTGTCAATTAATTAATTTAACAAGTGTAAAATAAATTAATTAATTGTGTTGCTTATTTATATGCTCGAATTAATTAATTAGATTAATTAATTCATAGACCGAATTTAATTAAATATGTTAATTGAATACTGGGTCGGGTCAGTAGACAGGCTAAGTTTGTTTGGGCTTATATAAATAAGCGGCTAAGGTTAGAGAACTGTAGAGAATTTTCACTCCTCTTGCTAGCACAAGATAAGTAAACCATAGTTCTCTCTACAATCTTGTTCTCTGTATGGAATTCCATTGGAGACTGGATAATTAAACAGTTATGGGTGACAAATTAAGATTGTTGAAAAGAAAAAAAAAAAAGCAAATGAGTTTGCAGAATCAAAGAAATGTTCAATTTCTATCACAGTTTTTATCTAAACACAAAGCAGATCCTAGGTGGGAATTGAAATTTATTTTATTTTTCGCTGAGCATGATTAAGTATATTCTCAACAGTGGTATTAGAGCCCACTCTGTGTTTGTTAGAAATTGTTTTAAATATTTGGGAACAATCAAAAGTTGATTTTGTCATTTTTCTTGTTTCTAGCCATTAAAAGAATGTAATTCTCATTTTTTTTTCTTGAAATCTGATTTCGAACAAATAATAATAATAAATAAAAAAGTAAAAGGATCGAACAAGTGGGCGATCGTCGCCCCATGTGATGGCGGCAGCGCGCTGCCCAGCGCTTCATGGCGACGTCAGATGTCGCTGCTAATTGTAGCAGCGTGTGATGCCGCCACAGTAACAGCTGCATCGCAGCCATTAATGCAAGCGGCCCTGCCATCTGAGTGAGGACAACCCCTGTCGCAAGGGTATGGGCAACGAGAGAAAGAAGGGGCGAATTATTTTATTTATTTATTTATTTCTAGGGTTTTCAGGCAAGTGACTGTGTTGTTGGAGACCCTGAGTTGGAATTTATGAAATTGTAGGCACCCGCCTGCAATTTTGTAAAAAGAGGGTCCTACCATTACTTTTAAACTTGGGCCAAATTGCAATTTTCAAAAGGTGTTTTGAATTTAAATATTAAAATGGTTTTAAATTTGATTTTCAAATGGATTTGACCTAAAATTTCAATTTTGACCCATTTAAAATCTTATTTAAAAAAATTGACGAATTTTTATATTTTCATTAAAATATGATTTTAACTTAAATATTGAACTTTGATCCTAAATTGAATTTTATTATATTTAGGAGTGTTATCCTTGATTAAAATATTTATTCAATTTAATTAGAGTTGGACTCTAATTCTAATTTAATACTTAAATTAAAATTTGTTATTCACCTAAATACATTCTTGAAGTTATAATTGGATTTTAATTTGACATTTAATTAAAATTTGATTTTAATTAAATTCTCTTGCCCTAAAATTTTTCTTAAAATTAGAGTTAGACTCTAATTTGGAATTTAATTAAAATTTGATTTTAATTAAATAAGTTTGTCCTAAAATCTTGGAATTAGAGTTGGACTCTAACTTTGTTATTTAATTAAATTTTGATTTTAATTAAATTCAACTGCCTTAAATTTTGAAATTAGAGTTGGACTTTAATTTAA